AATGAAAAGATCTCCGATGCATACCGTTGAAAGGAAAAAAATGAATGACGTGTCTTTATACCTCCAATGAACTCTGCCATGGTCCAACTTTTTTGTGACGTGGAATGACCATTGTGGAGCGCACTATTTGAAGGCAAACGGTGTGTTCGGCAGTAAATGTGTCAAAATTCTGTATTCACTTGATACATAAAAATAACACGATTTTTGTATTTTATAAAATTAAACCATTTTGTATTCACTTGATACATAAAAATAACACGATTTTTGTATTTTAAAAATTAAACCATTTTGTATTCAATACATAAAAACAACACATTTTTATATTTTAAAAATTAAACAATTTTATATTTACTTGATACAACTCCGCCTATGTTGTCCCAAGCCCTGGTAAATGAGGAGGGTTGTGATAGGCTTGGCGAGCCAACGTAAAACCTAGCCGTTATGTGGAGATGAAACACACGAGAAATTCGTTGGGGCGTAACCCTCTTAGTGACGCGCCATATCGAAAACCAGGTATGGTGTCAAATGGGTAAGGGCTAGGTCGTCCCCCCCTCGGTGACGCGCCATGTCGTGGTTTGGGTATGGTGTTAAGTGAGCAAGGACCGGGTCGTCATCTCCCTAGTGGCACACTACATCGTCGCCCGGGTGTAGTGGAAAATGAGCAAGGGTCTTCGCATCTCTCTCGACAGGTGCGAAGGGCAAGGAAGCTAGTCGAACAAACTAGGGTCCGTATAGGTAGTTGGAATGTAGGGTCCCTAACGGGTAAACTACGTGAGCTAGTCGATGCAGCTACTAGGAGACGTGTTAATATCCTATGCGTCCAGGAGACTAAATGAAAAGGACAAAAGGCGAATGAGGTGGAGGATACTGGCTTCAAGCTTTGGTTCACCGGGGCTTCATCGAGTAGGAATGGTGTAGGCATCTTGATCGATAGGTGCCTTAAGGATGAAGTTGTAGATGTTAGGAGGCAAGGTGACCGAATTATCTTAGTCCCATTGGTAGTTGGAGATTTGACCATAAATGTGATCAGTGCCTATGCCCCTCAGGTAGGTCTTAGTGAGAGCGCCAAGAGGAAATTCTGGGAGGATCTGGAGTCCTTGGTTAATACGGTGCCTGCCAACGAGAAGCTCTTCGTAGGAGGAGACCTAAACGACCATGTGGGTGCGACTAATGTAGGTTTCGAAAGAGTGCACGGAGGGTTTGGGTATGGTAGTAGGAACGAAGAGGAGGAGGGTGTGTTGGACTTTGCGATGCCTACGACTTGTTGATAGCGAACACCCTCTTTAGGAAGAGGGAATCTCACCTAGTGACCTTCCATAGTGGACGGCACTCAAGTCAAATCGACTTTATCCTTGCAATGAGGGAGGATAAATGCGCTTGCGTAGATTTGCAAGGTGATACCTGGGGAGTGTGTTTTCCCCCAGCATAAACTAGTGGTGGCGGACTTTCGATTCCGAATACGTATCCACCGGGACAAACATGCCAAGATCGTGAGAACGACGTGGTGGAAGCTTAAAGGGAAAGCGACGCAGACGTTTAGGGATAGGATGCTAGGCGAGGGGCCTTGGGAAGAAGGAGAAGATGCAGATGACATGTGGCTAAAGATTGCAACATGTGTACGGAAGGTGGCTGCAGAAGTACTTGGTGTGAGTAGGGGAGGCAAGCAGGAAGCGAAAGACACTTGGTGGTGGAATAACGAGGTGCAAAGGTCTATTCAGGAGAAGAATGAATGTTTCAAGCGTCTCCACCTTGACAAGAGTGCAACCAACATTAAAAGCTATAAAGTAGCGAGGAGGGTTGCAAAGCGTGCCGTGAGTGTAGCGAAGGGTCAAGCCTATGATGACCTTTATCAGCGCCTAGGCACGAAGGAGGGGGAGAAGGACATTTATAGGATGACGAGGATTCAGGAGAAGAAGACAAGGGAAACCAACCAAATCAAATGCATCAAAGATGGGGTCAGATCGACCACTGGTGAAGAATGGGGAGATCAAGGACAGATGACGAGAGTACTTCGATAAATTGTTTAATGGGGAGAGTGAGGGTCCTAACCTGGAGTTGGATGACTCATTTGAGGATATCAATAGACGCTTGGTGAGGAGAATTCGAGAGGCATAGATCGGAGAGACTATGAAGAGGATGAAGGGAGGTAAAGCAATGGGCCCTGATGATATCCCCATTGAGGTGTGGAGATGCCTGGGCGCCAGGGCGTTAGTATGGGTAGCTAAGCTTTTTAACCTCATTTTTCGTTCAAACAAGATGCATGATGAATGAAGGAGAAGTACTTTAGTATCGATTTTCAAGAACAAGAGAGATGTTCAAATATGTGGTAACTATCATGGGATTAAGTTGATGAGCCATACGATGAAGCTCTGGGAGAGGGTTATTGAGCATCGCCTACGACGAGTGACGAGTGTGACCCAAAACCAATGTAGGTTTATGCCTGGAAAGTCGACCATGGAGGTGATTTTCCTAATACGACAGCTGATGGAGAGATATAAGGACTAAAAGAAGGATTTGCACATGGTCTTTATCGACCTTGAGAAAACTTATGATAGAGTACCGAGGAATGTCATGTGGTGGGCCTTAGAAAAGCACAAAGTCCCATCTAAGTACATTACCTTTATCAAGGATATGTACAAGGATGCGATGACGTGTGTTCGAACATGTGGGGGTGATACTAGCGACTTCCCAATTAAAATAGGACTACACCAGGGGTCAGCATTGAGCCCTTATTTATTTGCCTTGGTGATGGATGAGGCCACAAGGGACATACAATATGATATCCCTTGGTGTATGCTCTTTGCTGATGATGTGGTGCTAGTTGACGAGAGTAGGGCAAGGGTAAATAGGAAGTTAGAGCTTTGGAAGGTTAGAGTCTAAAGGCTTCAGACTTAGTAGGACGAAGACCGAGTACATGACGTGCGCTTTCAGCATAGCTACACATGATGATGGTGACATTAGCCTTGACGGGCAAGTGGTGACCAAGAAGGAGACTTTCCGGTATTTAGGATCGATTGAACAATAGGATGACAGCATTGATGAAGATGTTAGACATAGATTTGCAGCCGGTTGGTTGAAATGGCGTCAAGCTTCGGGCGTTCTCTATGATAAGAGGGTGCCAAAAAGGCTACAAGGTAAGTTCTATTGGACGGCGATTCGCCCAGTGATGTTATACGGTGCTGAATATTGGCCTACAAAAAGGCAACATGTCCAACAATAAAGTGTAGCGGAGATGCGTATGTTGCGTTGGTTTTGCGGGCACACAAGAAGGATAGAATCCGGAATGAGGATATTCGAGATAGGGCCAGGGTGGCTCCAATTGAGAAGAAATTGGTTCAACATCGACTGAGGTGGTTCAGACATGTCCAACGGAGGCCTCCTGATGCACCGGTGCGTAGGGGAGTTCTACAGCAGGTCGATGATGTAAAGAGAGGTAGAGGTCGGCCTAAACTCACTTCGGAAGAGTCGATTAAGAGAGACCTTAAAGATTGGAATATCTCCAAGGATTTAGCGGTGGATAAGAGTACTTGGAGGCTAACAATCAACGTGACAGAACCGTGACTTTTGCTCCTTTCTCTTTTACTCTAATCTCTTCCTTTTGTTTTGAGCCCTTTGTGTTTCTCTTACCATTGGTTCTCTTGATTTTATTTCTAGCTTACTCCAACTTGCTTGGGACAAAAAGACTATGTTGTTGTAGTTGTTCTATATTTACTTGATACATATACATAAAATAACAATAAATGTAATTACAATTTTCATATTTTGAAAAATTAAACTACATTTTATTTACTTAATTATTTTTTTTACACGTAATTAATTTTTTTTTCAAAAATTTATTCTTAATTTATTATATAGTTTCGGGAAGATGGAAGGAACTTTTTTTTAGAAAATTCATTTTTTGTTTTCTAGAAAACAAATAAATGTACACATACAAATGACAAAAGAAATCAAAGCATTGGAAATAGTTTTACAACGTTACGTATATAATATATTATACAACTAGTACAACGCCCGTGTATTACACGGGTGCTTGTTAATTTTTTCTTTAAAATCTAAAATTAATGAGAAAAAGTAGTTGAAAATGTAAATACCTTTTATTAAAATTATATATATATATAATATTATATATCTAGTATGACACATTTTATTTGTGTGACTTACTTGTGTTATTATATTATAATAGTTTTTTTAACTTACAACATATAACTACATTAAACATAAATATATCAACTGAGAAATAATTTTATTTTGCTAATAAATTTTAATAAATATTATTATTTTTTATTATTATAAAGATAAATATAATTTGTTTATTTTATATATACAATATGAATGTCAAATCGAAGATCATGAAAAGATGATTAATTTGATATATCATATATGTAAAACCGATAAGAAATACAAAAGTTATCAACTTTTAAAATACATTTATAATTCAATAGCTAATTGAAGGAAACAAATCAAAAGTCAGGATATATTAGTCACTTAGTGCCTCACTATGTAAAAATTACAAAGAATTATATTAGTACGAGTGATATTAAAATCCTAAATTATTAATTATTAATATATTAATATTATTTGTTCAAACTTAATTGCGAAACATGATTTCTTCGCCAAGTAACATTATAAAAAATCAAAATTCAATTAATTACTGTCATGTGGAGTGTACATTTTAACATCGAGGCTCATCCACCGTGTTTGGGTAGTTTTCTCGTCAAACAAGGCTTTCTTTACGGTGAAGCGAAATAATTAAGACGGAGCAGAAACAAAAATTTCACCGAGATTGAGGTGGCAGACGTGCGAAGAAAAAGGGATTGGCCTTCGCCGGAGACGGATCCACCGGCACTTCTCGCGGCCTGGTTTCCTGCCTTCTATATCTTCGTTAGTGCATAAATATTTTAGGATTTTTGCATTTTTTTTTTTCAACTGTTTTGTGCTTCTTTTCCTGCGAAAACAAAAGATTAGAGAGAAGAACTTTTGCCTTGTGGGAAGTGAAGAAGATGGATTCTGACCCGCGGCAGTATGAGAACATTGTAAGACACTTTTTTTTTTTTTCAATTTCCTTTCGAATTTCTATTTATTGGGTCTCCGCTGTAATTCCCATTTAATGCATGTTTTGTGTTTGTTTGTTTGTCCCAAATGCTACTTGTTCAAGCAGAGTTCTTTGATCCTTATAAAAACCATGAAGCCATTCTTATTGTTTTGTAGGTTGAGACACTTAATGATTCCTTTTTTTTTTTTTTTTCTTTTTTGGTATGGGCTTACTTTTGTTTCTTGATTCTGTTTCAATTTTTGGTCCTATTAATGTAGCATTTGTAAGGAACACCGGCTTGGGTATCCTGCTGACTTGAGGTGAGGACATGTGTGTTTATTTCCTCACTTGTAATGACAGGTGTTCGATTCGAATCGATTGTTGAATTCCGAGTCTTTCAGTTACGTAGCACAGCAGTCCTCACCTGCACTGCCAACTCACTAACTACTAGAATCATATGGGTTGTTTTTCGAGTTTGTTTTGGTTATACAGCAGCACTCCTTGTCAGCCATGGCCCTCTTGTTTGAAATTTAGCACAATAGAAGAATGCTTGAGCTAATATAGAGTTTCCATTTTTCCTTCTTCTGTCGTTTGCAAATTGCAATTCAGTCATATTACTTTATTTGTATTATCATCACCCTGCTCGATACGGATTTTACAATCTTTCTGCTAGTATATGATGGTCTTTCTTCATATGTCTGGGTGTGATAGTATATTCTTTTTTTTTTTAGTTTAATTTGACTCTGTATATGTGAATAATATAAAGGTTAAAAAAAAAAGAACAGAATCATGCTAGCTGAAGTAAACCAAACTGGTTCCATGTTTTTTTACGGCGGGTTATTCTATGTGCCTATTTCTGTGATTAACATGCTTGTGTTGTTTATTCCCCGGCAGGGTGTGAATAATAACGACATCAACAAGATTATCCTATCATATCTTGTGCACAATTGCTATGAAGACACGTTGAATGCTTTCATTGCATGTACTGGGGAAAAGCATCCCGTCAGCAATATGGAGGACTTGGAGAAAAGGAAACGTAAGGGTCTCTTTTTCATTGCTCATGCTATTCCAACATTTATTGCAGTGGTTTATTTCTTGAAGTTCTAGTGGCTCTTATGATTATGAAATGTTTTGAACTTTATGTTTCCCTTGAATGCCGACATGTTTCCATTATCAACACGGCTTCAGCAATGATCACAGCCTCAGGCATCTACATGTGAATAGTTGACATTTATCAATGTAGAGCCACCAGCACGATTTAACATTCTTATGTCAATTGACTTATATCTTCTTGAGTCCTGCTTTGATGTTTTATTTTCAAAAATCAAAGAACAACACAGATCCTTTTAAGTCTCATGTGACAATTGACCTGTTGATCTATAATGAGATTTCTCTTTTCTTTCTCTCTAAATGCATACATTCTTACTACAATTTTGGATGCTGCGCCTGTTTCCACTTTTTTTTTTTTTTTTTTTTTTTTTTTTTTTTTTTTTTTTTTTTTTTCTGGATTTCAAAAGGTTTACATATTCACTACCTAGTTGGATAATGAGATAATTGGTTATGCCTAGGGATATGATAGCATCTGATGATAACCTGTAAACTCAACTGTGTAAATGACATGACGAGATAGAGAAACATGGAAATAGGAAACCGAAAACCACAAGTGTAGTGACCAGAGAAGGAGAAGGACAACCTAGTAGCAACTGTTTCACTTCTTTAAGTTTAAGGCTATCAAATATTCCCCTGAATAGTAACTTCTGGTAAATGTGTTTGTTTTCTATGTCATAGAATCATGATTGTCTTCTAAATTGAAAAATTTAGGAGATCGAATATAAAAAGGTAATAAAATGACTACGGAGTACAGAAAAATAAGATATGAGAAATGATTTTACCATTTCAAGAGTTTGGAGTATTACTACAACCAAGTCATATAATTTTCCTCCTCAAACAACTGTATGTGTAAAGTTTTTGAAAAGTCCGCTTGTTGAAAAATGCTAGGCTCAAGTAAATTTAGCAATGCTTTTCTATCATCATTTGCAGAAATATACCATGTGGCATTCGACGGGAATGCGTCCGAGGCCATCCGGTTGACAGAAGAATTTGCTCCTGGCTTGTTGGATGATGATAAGACTTTACATTTTGACCTCTTGAGTCTTCAGTTTATTGAGATTGTGTGCTCTAGAAAACTGTAAGTAAGTTGATTTTGCATAGAAGTTTAAGCATCTACATTTTTACAGTTTAAGCAGCTACATTTTTTGTACACCATCTTTTATATTTCACAGTGATGATGCTTTAAGTTTTGCTCAGTCGAAGTTGAATCCCTTTGCAAAAGAACAGAGATTTGTGGACAAGCTTAAAGTATGCTATTGTTGTTAATATATGAAGTTAATCTCATATATTTAAACTTAATTAGGTGTAAAAATAACAAGCGATATATACATTGTTATTTTTGAAGGACTGTGTTGGTCTTCTTGTGTATGACGAACCAGAGAAGTCCCCAATGTTCCATCTTTTAAGCCCAGAACGTAGACAGCACATTGCAGACAGTTTAAACAGAGCAATTCTCGGTATCTCTTTTTTCCTTGTAAAGTTGCAGCATTCGGGATTATTACGGTCCCTTCTTTCTGTTTTGTAGCATCATCTAAATAAATTTTTAGGATCCTTACTTTGCTTGTAATGTTGCAGCACACACTAAGCTTCCCAGCTACTCGGTAATGGAAAGGCTAATACAGCAGACAACCGTTGTTGGACAGTATTTAAGTCAAGAATTCAGTAAGGTGCGAAGTTTGGTACTTGGTTACTGGCATACCTTATTCTGATTATTTTTGAATGGGAGTTATATGAATAAATGCTTTCAGTATTTTGCTTTATTTGGAGATTGTTTTTGCAAGTATCCATTACGCATATTTATACTGCTATTCCGTTAAGAGGACGTTGTAGTATTATATGAACAAGAATAAGAATGCTGATTATGCACACACACGCATACCATAAGGGAAAAAACGATCTGATCTGACACACTTCACCATTTATCGTGTTAATTAATTTAAAAGTTAGCTTTTTCATACTGACCCATTCTATGGGACGAGTTTCTCTTAGTCATGAAAGTTAGCAAGAGTGATACGCACAAAAAAGTGTTTTCTGTAATACATTAGTTTTTTGAAAGCTACTTGATCTTTCTCTCCAACTTCCAATGGAAATCATCAACCTTTCTCTTTAGAGGATTTTCTCAAGAGCTAAGCCTTATGAGTTATGAAGTTCTCGAAGCAACTGATTAGATACGTGTTATACTGGTGGCCTTAAGATGATTGCGGCACGTAAAACTTCTCTTGTGATTACTTATATATAATGCTTTACATAGTATTTTTTTTAAGTTATATAATGCTTTACATAGTATTTTTTTAAGTTATGCTAGCCATGGAGGAAGTTTGTAATTATAAGGAATTTAGACTCGAGCCCAATATTCCAGGATTTTAATACAACTTTCACGTGTTTCTATGAGCTGAGGTGGAAATTTTAGTGAACATTTTAAGATTGCACCTCCTTACGGAATATTACCCAATACAATAATCAGCCTGCCGAACACCAATCTTCTTTGAATTCTAAACCAGCTATTTAAACGAGTAATATCACTTTTTTTTTTTTTT